AATGTCCTAGAAAAAGTAAAAACTCAATATTAAATTAAAAAAAAAACTGTAATTCAAGTGAATTTAACTAAAGGCTACTCATCTACCATCAAATAGTATTTTAAGGCCACAGTACCACCTCCAATATTCGTAACATGAACTAATTTTGATAGATGCCATTTATGTGTCATAAATTAAGAATCCTTTTGTTCAACAGATGGAGCAATATTCCATATTTAATAGTTCTTTTGTTCAACAGATGGCGTAATAATTTTATTAATTTAAACTGTAACTGTTATAAAATAACAAATTCATCACCTCTAGCCACTACGCGATGATAAGTAAACGAGTTCTTGACATTGAGAAATATTTTCGATGTAGCAGGTACCTAAATAAAAGTTTTGGATTAGATTCGGGACATCGATATATTTACTTAATATTTCATTCTTGTGTCCAGTCAACAAAGGACAAAGATCTTCGTATCATTACGTAGAAACCTATTATACTATACATGGTGTTTCGTAAAGAATGGGACATAGAACAACTGACGATTTTCGGATTAAAAATAAGACAACTAAACAAATCATGCTTAGATAAAATGTTTCTCGTCTTCGAATTACGGTGTTAAAATCCAAAAAATATTTATGGCTATATTTTTTTTTATTACTCACAACAATTTTACTAAATTTGGCAAACGTTTTTGGAGTCATAACATCCACCTATCAGCAAAAAAAATTAGTTACCTTAATCAACTTTTCCACTAGCGTACAGCATTGGTACGTAATACCGTATCCCTCCTAAATTTTACGTCACTATTCAAAAAGTTATTAGGACATAAAATTTTAAATTTTTTGATGTTTTTTAAATAAATGTTCTCTTAGAAATTTAATAAAAAAAAATCGAAATTTAAAAATTTCAGAATTTTCAAATATGTGCGAATATCTCAAAAACTAACTCAACTTTATTTGAAAAACATCAAAAGTTTTTGGACAGTGGACTAAAATTTAGAAGGGAAAAAGATGTTACTTGCCCATGACGTACGCCACTGGCAAAGCTTATTTAACTTATTTTTTGCTGATACATGTATTTTATTACACCAATAACGTTTGCCGAATTTAGTAAAATTAAACTGAGTAATACAAAAATTGTAGCTATTCATAATTTTTGATTTTCAACTTTAAAACCGTATTTTTTGAAAACGAGTAATGTTTTACCTACGGATGTTTCGTTTAATCGGCTTATTTCTAATCAGTTAATCTTCAGTTGCTCCCATTCTTAATGGAATACGCTGTATATACCGAAAGGTCTTACAGCCAAAGAACCAAATAAAAAAAAGAAATATGTATTAAAAAAATGTTTTTATTACCTTATACCACAATACTTTATTTAGATCTGCATCACTAAAAATTATTTTCAAAAAATTTAATTTCATTTATATGTTATGAGTTGGCAGCATACGGAAAACTTTTTTTAAGAATTTTAAGAAAAAAACTTATTTTTCATAAACAATTGCATGGTCTATTAATTTTAGAAAAATAAGTTACTTTGCATAAAAAGTTATGCATGGTCTAAAACCAAAAATTCAATCATCTTATATCAAATTTTATCAGTCGTATACAGGGTTTGTCGAAAACAAAGGTATTTTATCTTGAGCAAAATCATATTATTTGACAAACCTTGTAAAACTGACTGATACAATTTGATATCGGGTGGTTGCATTTTCTGTTAGACCATGCATACATTTTTATGAAGAATAACTTTTTTTCCTAAAATGAATAATAAAAAAGTCTTCTATATGCTGTCAATTTACATAGACATACTCTGTGTATATACAACTTATGACACATTGCTGAGATGTTTTTGTAAAAAAAAGAAATTAATCATAAAATTTTACTTTATTTGTAGAATCGTAATTTATGTTTTCATATTTTCACTTTTTTTATCAATTCAGAATGACAGTACTATTTTCAACTATTAATAAAAATTACGTGTGTATTTTAGGTTAATCAATAAGAAAAATAAGCATTTTTGAAATATTAATAGATATCTAAATACAAATTAAACAACAAATGAATAAAAAAGAATTTAAAACACGTTGACTGCCGAAGCACATGTTGTGGTCGGGTCTGCTGAGCCCAAGTAGTTTTTCTAAAAATTTAAGTCTGTTTTTACGTTTTAACAATAAAGTAGTTTAAGTAAATACTTAGGTAAACTACAATATCTAATAGAAGCGTGAATGTTTAGGTTGTCCAATTAGTGCATAATTATTCAATATTTCAATTTGTATTATAGACACGTAAACAATTTCTAAATAAAAGATAATATGAATTTCGAAAATAGATATTTTAAAGATATTCTCGAATTGTATTAACAAATATTGCAGGGTTGCCAATAAATTAATTTTTTTATAAAATTAGTGAATGATGCAGACCCCAAATTAAATTATCATAATTTAGGTAGGTTTACAATTATTTCAAATTTTTTTTTAAATGTAAAAATAAGATACTAACCTAACAAATAGTGGTGATAGAACTGTATATTATTTAAGCATACAATTCTTTATAAATTTACATATCCAACGATACCAATATGTTAGTCAATAACACATATACAAGGTGTCCCATGAGTGCGTAATTGATCGATAGCAGTTTTATAATAGGAAATACGAAAAAAAAATTAATATAAAAGTTGTTTGACCATATTTAACAATTATTCATAAACATACAGGGTGGTGATCCATAAACGATTGTCTGACCAAACCTATACATTTTTAAAGCAAAACACCCTGCAGGTGTTATACATATTTGATTGTTTTCACATAGTCGAACAATAATTTCAATTTCATTCATTTGCTATGTTGTATATAGGGTGTGTATGTTATGTATGTGTATGTTATGCCACCAATTAATTAATACATTATTCCATTGAAAAAAATTTAATCATTTGTAACCTCGAGTGTTGACACACCCTATATATAACAACAAATGAATGAAGTCAATTAAAATTATTTGACGACGTGAAAACAATCAAATATGTATAACTACCTGCAGGGTGTTTTGCTTTAAAAATGTATAGGTTTGGTCAACATGTCGTTTATGGACCACCCTGTATATATAAGAATAATTTTTAAATATGGCCATACAACTTTATATTAAGTTTTTTTTTCTTATTTCTAATAATAATACAGCTATCAATCAATTGTGCACTGATGGAACACTCTGTATATATGTTATTCTCTATCATGTTGGTATCGTTGGATATGCAAATTTATAAGGAATTATATGCTAAAATGTTATACCGGGTGCTGCCATTGAAAAAATTGAGTAATTTGAACTTATAAGTAACCATATTTAAGATGTTTCAAAACACTCGTTATAAAAGAATTCAGCACTATCACTACTATTCATTATCTTAATGTGCTATAAGTCAGTATACTAAACAATTTTGAAATCAATGTAATCCTACCTAAATTATGATAATTTAATTTGGGGTCTGCATCATTCTCTAATTTCATAAAAATGTAATTGCTTGGCAGACCTGTAATATTTTTTTAAATTATTCTAGGGTTGAATACAGTATTACCAAACCATTCTAAAATTGAAATAAAATACATGTTCTATTTTAAAAATATGCCAGGCAAAAATGTAACACCCTGTATATCCAAAAATATTTTTAAAATATGTATTTTTCAAATCCATATAATTTCTCTTTGAAACATGTTTGCGTGTCTTTAACACAAATTAAAATATTGAACAATTACGCACTAATGGGACATACACATAGGTACATACACATAGCAGTCAACGTGTTAACTCAGAAATAAGATTCCTTATAAAGATAAAATAATATTCAGAAGAAGAAAGCCAATTGCGCAAATATTACGTGCGTATCATACAGTGATGCCAGGTCATTCGGATTCAAATTATATCGGAATACAATAAAGTTCCTTCCCTTTCCTGTATTTCATTATTGTATATTTCACCCACTTTAAAATGAAATTGGTCCTAGAAAGAATTGTAAAATTATCGTATCTGGCAACGTGGCCAACACTTGTTTATAAACAGGGAAAATAAATCGATAATTTTGTAGTTGGAACCAAGCGAGACAAATATATTTGAAAATCACGAAACAACAGACGACATACAGCTGTATCATTGATTCAAAAATTGGTACCTCTAAACAATCATTCACCAATTAAAACCATCTCTAAAACAGAGTAGCTACATTGTTTTTTATGATGACATCTTCTTAAAAATAGATGAACTACACAATTACAAGATTTCATAGAAAATCTCTAATTTAACAAATAAATTAATCAAATATTTGTTAATCGTATTTCCACTTAGATTTGAAAAATACAAAATAAAATTTAGAAATATTTTGGCGGGATACTTGAAAAAATATGTAGAATGAAATCTCCTACTTTTTAGCTCTGGTTTTAAAATCACTTTTTATGATTTTTTTTTTAAATTCAGTTTATAAACAGGACAAATAAAAAATAGGAGATTTCATTCTCCAAACCTTATACTTTAAGGTGGTAGAAGATTAATTTTAATACATTTAGCGGGATTTAAATGCAATCGGAAATGGTGAACCCTTGCTTCTTATATGAAAAATACAGTGATACTGCTGCCTTAATGAATGTTGTGTATGTAAAAGGGTAGCTTATTCGAATCGAAACCAATTTTCGATTACCTACTCTTAATGATGCCATTACACAATAATTATATAAATACCTTTTAAATATAAATTTCCGTTTTATAATAAATTTCCCACTTGTATTCGAAAAAGCCAATCTGTAAATTTCCATTATCAATTAACTTAATTTGTTGTTCTCAAACATTTTATAAAAATTTCATTTACATATTTCTTATTTTTGGAAAAATTGAATTAATATTCTCTCTCTTTGTTACACACACACAATGTTAATAGAAGTTCGTTTCTCTTCGTCACCTTTCGGTTCGAATCCATACCCTAACAACGGGGTCGCAAATTACCTGCGCATATTCAGTCATCGAACATATTTCACTAGTTATTGACGTTGAAAGGTCACTGCTGTTTCTCAATTTGACAAACCCTATTAATTTGTCAAATGATTCTAACAAGTTAAATAAAAAAAAATGTAGATTTTTCGATTAAATGTCAAGTTTAAATAAAATTTACCAGCGAATGGTAAGGGATCACTTGCTTATCGTTCAATCGGTTCAGGCGTCATGCTTGATGACCATAGGGGACATCATAGCCCAAAAAGTTATAGAGAAAAAGTCTGAAATAGAACTTAAACGTACAGCGAGATTTACAGTGCTCGGATTGTTTCTTGTGGTGAGTACATCATTCTATTTGCTGTAGTTAAAATTATCATTAGAAAATAAGTAGAAAAATAATTTTAAAAACAATCAATTTGTGTGAAATATACAGCTTAACAAGGGTAGCTTCATCGGTGATTCTAGGGTGCGCAGTTTAAAAGGGTTAATATGTTAGTTAATACAAGAACACAAAAATAAATAATATTATAAGTTATTAATTTTTTTGATATTTATAAACTTATTGAGTCCTCTCGAAAGTTTTGTCCTTCTTTTTGACACTTCTTTCTAACTATTAAAAGCATTACTTAGTGTATATAATAATTTGGACATACTTCCAATTCGTCCAACGTTATTTTTTCCCATCCTTATGTATTTTTACTCCCAAATATTTAAATGTATCCACTTGCTATACTTGTTTTCATTTAGCTGTATTTCCTGTTCTATTAACATTACTTTTCTTTTATCTACGTGATTTTTATATAGTTACTTTTTATATTAACATCTTTGATTCATTTCAGGGTCCCTCTGTTGCAACTTGGTTCAAATTCCTATCGAACACAGTCGGCGACAAAGATAAAAATGCCGCCATTAAAAAAGTGGTTTTGGATCAATTATTTTTCGCTCCTGGATTTCTACCGATATTCCTCGTCGCCTTGAACACGATAAAGGGCAACAGTTGGCAGAACACGAAGGACGACATTAAGGACAAATACCTGGACATCATGAAAGCGAATTATAAACTGTGGCCTGTGGCGCAGTTTGTTAATTTTAAATTTGTGCCGTTCCAGTACCAAGTTTTGATGAATCAATCCGTGGCGATATTTTGGAATACGTATCTTTCTTGGAAGACGACCCAATCGATGATAAAGACGAAGTGATATGTAGTAGGATAATTAATTAATTAATAAAGAATCATTTTATTGAAGAATGTTTTATTTAAATCCGTTTATAGCTTTAAGATAAAAAGAGTTAGTTTTCTGAAGAAGAAAAAAAGGAGGCAACAAGTAAATTCTTTAATGGTATCACAGCACTTCCATTTTTTTTTTCTATAAAATGATATTTAAATTTTAGTTCATCTTTTCCTACGTAGGTAAATTCAGCTACAAATCTATAACTTTCCACATTTTAAACATAGTATTATCACAGCTTATACAATACAGCTAAAACACTCTCTTGGCGGCAACGGTTTGCGTCGATTTCGTCGCGCATCGCTTAAGCTCCGCCTTCGAAAGGAAAAGACGGTTTTGGTGTTCAGAAGCGTACTTCGGTAAGGTGTTGAGTCGTGCGTATAATTTTGTTGATTGTATAATTTCGTGGAGCCTATAATTTCGTTGATTTTGTTTGAGTTAAAGGTACTGTTATTATTTTGGTGACTCTTTAGCTGTGAGTAAAATGAGTTTGTGCAGTCAAAAGCTGTTTTAATAAGGGTTATACCTGCAAGAAAATATTCTTTAGTTTTCCCAAGAACCCAAACCGATAAGTACTACATTATAAGAAATTTTCATTGTTAAAAATATAATTTATACAGGGTGTCTCATTAGTGCGTTATTGTTCATTATTTTGTTGTAGACACGCAAGAAAGTTTTAAATAAAAGTTATATGGATTTGAAAAATACCTACATATTTTAAAAATATCTTTGGATATACAGGGTGTCACGTTTTTGCCTGAAAAATTAAAATGTATGTTTTTTAAATGGAACATCTTGTATTTTATTTTATGATGAAATTATTAACACCCTAAATTATTGTAAAGACGAATTGCTACAGAAAATTTTTATCAGGTATGTGTAAAAGCCTTGCGGATCCACTCCTGCGATACCTGTCTTAAATATAACAAAGATCACGTTGAATTGGACGATTTTTCTTTTTATTGCTTTTAAAAGGCATATGATAACGCCAATTCAGATACATTTGGAAATCTGCAACTGTCAAATGATGAATTTGTAGAACTAATATTCAATATTGAAAAGATATTTTAAAATAATTTTGAAGAATTGGCTACAAAAAATAACATTTGTACCACACTTTTAGAATTAATTAACTCAATACCCTTTAGTCATCCATGCTAACGTTTTCCAAAAGAATAACTTATTTTATTGTATGTTTAATCTCAATAACTAAAAAATATACTGACAATTAGTTTGACAGAATTGTCATTTATTTAAAATTTTAAAAATAATAGCAGTCGGTTGATCAAAATATGAACGGTGATTAGCGAATTTATTTTTTTTTGCAGTGTTCTCACTACCTAGAATGGATATGAAATATATTCGTTCAATTGAAGGCAATAGCATACTTTTTCGTTTTGTAATCTGTGCATGGATATTAGCCAATCTACGCACATACTACAAAACGAAAAATTATGTTATTGCGTTCAAATATTTCATATCCATTTTAGGTAGTGAGAACACTTTAACAAAATTAAATCTACAAATCACAGTTCATATTTTGGTCACCCAACTCCTATTATTTAAAAATTTTTAAATAAGTGACAATTCTGTTAAACTAATTGTCAATATATATTTTAGTTATTGATATTAAATATACATTAAAATTTTTGTGTAGACTCGATAAATAATAGCATTTTTGTTTTTATTATGTCCACATTTAAAAAAAAATAAATTTTAATCAAACTACATGATACTAATTTAATTACGAGTCTTAAAACTAAAGTCCTGAAAGTTTCGGTGAAGATGAGGACAGAACATCTGCCTTCCATGCGAAAAGCCCGGGATCGAATCTAGGCCGAGGACTAATTAATTTTTCATGTTTATTTTATTTTATAAATTAGTCAACTTCGTAAATTATTTTAAAATTAGTTATTTTGTCTAAATAACCTAAAATATTTTTTTAAATTTGTAGATTTTCGTTAGTGGGTCGTAGAAAAAATATACTGACCATATCGAGTGGATTGTTCATACCACAATCAGACGATTGAGTACTCCGCACACGACGTCGTGCTCAAACTTCGTCTTTGTGTGATATGGCTATCATATCCACCCTTGTTGAACAAACTACAATTTATTTGTTTTCTTGGTTTAAGTTTTACATCAGAAATAAGAACTAAATTAATTTACTTTTCAAGTTTTCTTGTAAAAATCGATATTACTTTCTCCAAGTACAAATTTAGTACCTACCTAAAATAAGTACTAATTATGTAATATCGTGTAATATTGTAATTCAAATTTCACATTACTATAAAGTTTCAAAATTCCCTACTTCGGTATGGTCAGATAAAAATTGAATATATTATATTAATAAAAACTGTCAAAGTATTACTTCTACAAATCTGTATTTCAATTAATAAGAATACATCTAAATATAACCAATATTGTTAAAATAAAAGCACAAATTCTTTATAATTCCAAAATACCAAAGAGTTCCCAGACCTCAGTCGAAGCATTCGTTTATCTAGGTATAAACCCTTTGCGCGAAGAGTAAGACTTGCCAGAGACACGGGGTACCACTTGATTTGCATCCACGAGCGTGACACATTTCTTTAACAATTGACGCCCTTGGTGTAAAAAGGATCCAAGTCACAATTTGTCGTGAAGTGACTGTTTTAGCTCAAAACATTTGTTAACGAGGATTTTACTAGCCACATACAAATTATTTTACCTCTAATCCGAAAGATGTGCTATTTTTCGTAATATTTATATTTAAATAATTTTTTAATTATATTTGACAGATTTAAAACAAATTAAAAATTTAATTTCCCAAAACTTACTTAACATGGCATGTAACCAACTTTATTACGTCAAGGTTTTCAATTTTTTCAATAATAAAAAAATTGCTTAATCCGGGCCCGACTTTTCCCTTTAATCCAACAGAGATAGCACCATTCCGTCTTGCTTGGTTCTCGACCGCCAGATCAAAGACGCCGACACGGAGTTGTGGAGCTGTATTGTATAAGCTGTGGTATTATTATATGTTCTAAATAATTAAGTTGGTGTGGTACGAAAGATTTGTCAACGTCGCATATTGGTAGTTATCTAGTAATACAAATGTATAACAAGGGATTACTCGTTTGATTGGAATTGATTATTTAGCTGGCTATTTAGGGTCACAGGTACTTTCCTATTGGGATTACTTACCTACCTACCTGTAGGTATATTTATGATACCTACTTATCTAATAATCTTCGAATAACGTATTATAAATATATTTACCCCAATTACTAAATAATGGTTGAAATAAGTATTTATTTTATTTACGTTTGGAACATTGGCTTGAGATTTTTATTATATTTTCAGCATATTTATATTATTTGTGAGTTAATATGGCATTTTCTGTTCAGTTTTTTTTTTCTAAAACTGTTCAAAATAGTCCAAAATAAAATAAGACATTTACTGAATTTAATAAAGTTTTTATTTCATCCTCACCAATTAAAAAAAAAAAAAACTTATTTAAAGAATAAATAAAAAATGCATGCATATTATTTAATCTGATTTTTTTTTAAACCATAGACTTAAAAAATGCTAGCAAAAAAAGATATGGATGTCATTTCGAAACTAACCTATATTAATTTTATCGAATTCACACTTTATTTAAAGAAAAAATTCGTGCATCTAAAACCAATTTTTTTACAAAACATTTCATATGAATACTCTACAGTCTGTTCGCTATACTTACGCGGGTTCGGATTAACAAAATTATGCAAATTAGTCATTGACAACCAGTTCCAATAAGCCTCTTCCCAAGAAATTAGGCAAAATTGCGTAAGTATAGCGAACAGACTGTAGGAGCGAAAAGAACTATACAGAATGAAAAATTTTATACACTATGAAATTAAATAGATTTTTTTTCAATTCTGATAGCAATTTTTACAAATTTTAATTACCAGTTTTCTGACTGGTACTTCTAGTAGTAGTAACAGACTTTTTTCTTTCCTTTTCTTTTTCTTTATTTTTTTGTGGTATTTATTGACTTTTCTGTTTGTCCTCTTTTCATTCTTCCTTATGTTCCGCTACTTTTTCTTCTTTTTTATCTGTTTTTGCTCCCTTGTCCTCAATATCGTTCAATTCTCTTATTTTTTTATTATTATCTTGATTGAATGTAGATAAATTATTTTCTTTTGTTGGTGTTTGTGGTGCGCTATTTGATTGCTGTATTACGATTGAATTGTAGCTTTCTTCGATTTGTATAATATCTTCTACACTATAAGCTGTATTATTTCTCCTTTTGTGTAGCAATGATCCTGTATTGTCAATCTTATTCCTCTTAGGTGGTTTCTAAGAATTTTGTTTCTTTCCTATTGAGTTTTTGTAAGATCTGGAGAAATAGTAATATTGGTCCCCTTTAGTTTCTTAGTATTTCTTAGTACGTCTATTTTTGTAAAAGTTGATACAAATTCAACTTTGATGGGACTTCTTTCTAATTTTCCAAGTTGATAGAAGTGATTAATATCTGACGTTTTATTTGAAGGCCAAGTACACTATTTAGATAATTGCAGATATTTTCTACAGAAAATTCTTTCAATGTTGGTTTAATTCCAAAAATCACGACGTTGTTTTTTTTTGCTGTTTCTTTCTAACACTTCTATCTCTGAAACCTTGGCAATTTCAAGAGCAGAATAAATTATAAAAAAAATATTCAAGTCATTTAATTTAGGAAATAATTGTAGAAGAAGGATTAAGGATATTTTAGAAGGTACTAAAAAACCAATTTGTATCTATCTGTATTAATAAGTCAGTATTAGGGATATTCAAAACAAATTGTGTTTATAGATTAACTGTTTTTGTCTTTTTATGAAAATTATATTCGTTTTCTTTTAATAACAAAATCACTGTCATGTGCTGTGCTGGTTATCATATTATATTTTCTTGGTGTAAAATAATTTAGTATTATAGTTTAATTGCTACAGAAAAAGGTATACAATATACATCATGTTCTCTTTGATTTTTGAGATCTGGAATAGATGATTCCTATAAACTTTTTACGTATTTTATTTTAAATTCATTTCAGCCACCAAGTCTTTTCTTTCAAGGCTAAAACGTTTTAATTTTAAAGATGATTTACCAAAATTTGTGTCATGAATCGTCAA